TTAAGGTCAAGTTGTTTCTAAAGCCACCAGTTGCCTCTCACAGCACAAAACTACCTTCCATCCACCAACCTACGAATGTTAACCAACTTCTGTCGATCGACATTCTACTACCAATGCATTTCAACAACAACCATTCAAAACTAACACGCCAATAATATTAGCCAAAATTGACATATACTCGTCAGGTCGCTTGAATTAGCAATGGATCAATTTTTCTTATACCTTCTAATTGGCAGACATGACCCTTTTGAGCTCAAGTGCGGAGCCGCCTATAGTTAAATCGATGGAACTAGACAATAAAGAGACAATCAAGGCGTGTTTGGACCTCCCTAAATGACATCTTTAGTTAGGTCTTAAGCATGAGTAGGGAAATCACTCTATTGGATCCTGAAGTGATGGGTAAAATCATGATTTGCAGAGTTATCATCTACCATTTGGTCTTTAGAAGTTGACATAAGTAGGTTAAATTAACCAATGTTTCATCTCTCAATAGGCAACTAATACAATTTCATCCTTGAAAAAATACAAAAAACCTCCAATAACAATGTGAGTTAAGAAAACATGTTCATATTTCAATGGATAAAAGTCGTTAAAATCATAGAAAAATACTAGTAAGAGCTTAATAACAAACCCGAATATCAATAACATAATGTTTAACATTACACCCAATTTTACACTATTCATAATTGCATCAATAAGCATGTCAACCTCATGAACGTTCATTTAAAACTTGTGGCTAGCACACAATGTGTGATGCCCCAATATCTAACTTGGAAGAATTATTCTTTTAAATCTTCAACTACCAGAGCTATCTATATTCATCAATCAGTAACAAATAGTCTAACAAAAATATACAATTCAAAACTCCATGTAAACATTTCTATTCATTCTCAAAAGTTCATTTACATTTCTCAGGATCTACACATCAATCACAAGTAATCTATCCTGTCATGAGTACAAAAAAAAATCACTATAACAAAAGGAAAAAAACCTGAAGATTCATGATCAACCTCAATCTCCTGCTCCCTTGCCCTGACATGAAAATATTAACCACATATAATGAGCTTGAAAAAGCCCAGCAGGTCACCAAATACCTACAACTGAAATCAAAGCACGGTACATAAACAATATGCATGTTCATCAGTCAATTCATTGCAGTCACTTACACATTATCATTTGAATCAATGAAGAATCAGAAATCAATGCATAAACAGTAATCAGTATAGAAATGGTAGTCAATGCGTAAACAGTATCGATACAAAAACAGTAAAATCCTCAATCGGCAATAGAAGAATCAATAAATAATATAAAAGTCCATAAAGCTCAATGAATCAATACGTATGTCAAATCTTTATAGTAGTCGTCACTGTCTATGACATCAGTCAATTTTGTAGACAGTTAAATTGTTAAGGAAATCTTCGTATCGGTAGTATCAATCAAATCAATTAATAAATCATCATTTCAATAATATCAAATATCAATCGTATAAAGATAAATCATTGGTTCAATAATATCAGTCAGTATAAAATGTCAAATCAATACTATCACGAACTGTTGAAATCAAATCAATGAAATAAAATCATAACATTATTTGAAACAGCTGAAATCAATCAATGTTGTAGAATCATATCAAAACGACACTTGTAATTCAATTATCCAATATCACGTGCTCAGTGAATCACATGCAATCCAGTAATCTATATCACATGTTCAGTGAATCATATGTCACTTACACAGTATATCAAGTGCATAATGTAAATAAAGTGAATCAGTAGTATCAATACAATCCAGTGACATGAACAGTAATGGTATAATAGTAAAATCACGCATTAACAGTAAATCTGTGCAGTAACTAAATCAGTACAGTATAATAACGATAAATCCATCAGTATCAATAAATCCTTATAATAGTAGTAACGACAATACAACTAAACATGCAATTCAGTATAGTAGTCATACATACTAAGTAAAAGCTCTGACTATTAAGGTGTTTTTCAGTATTGTATTAATATCTTGTATATTGTATCTTGTCCGTTGGCTTAGTAAAAAGAGTCGTCACTCTTTGTCCGTCGGCACAGTAATCATCTCCTTATAACTCCCTTCAGTAATCACATGATCAGTAGAGGATAACAACAAACCATATTTAAAGGAAAGCTCATCGGCCCACCATCCTGTACAGGTCAATCAGTCTCCAACCAACGGTTCAACCAGTCTTTACTTATCTTTCACACACATAATACACATTAGTATCACAATAATATAAGAACAGCTTCAATCATATAACAACATTCATCATTATCTCATCATTGCATTGCAACCGTAAAACATGATTTGGCTCAATTTAGAAAACTCCTTAAAATATCGTATATCAGACAGAAGTCGTTGTAAAATGCACAGATCCAAAAAATTACCACATTACTAGAAATCTCGTAAAATAACATTTCAAAACTTTACTTGTACTGAATCAATATTTTTCAACATTCGGATAATTTTCTATTCGATAAAAATCCCACAGAATTCAAAATACCTGTGAAAACTTTCCATAAAATACTCAAATCATACAAAAATATCATTTACATAACATACCAAAAGTTACGTGGTAAAAGTTCCGTCAATACAAAGATATGCACATTTTTTGGTAACAGAAACACAAAACTGTGCAGAAAAATACCAAAACTCGAAATCATAAATAGGAATCGGAGTCCTTACTGCGAGACAAACAAATCTTCCAACTGCGTCGTCGGACGAAAAGCGCTCCGTGGCCTCCGAAATCAAGCATTCCTCCTTCTCTTTCTCTCTCCAGCTTTTTCTCTCTCTTCAAAAATATCTCAAAAACATCTTAATTCCAATACTTATCAAACATGATCGTCCCGGACGATTTCTATTCGTCCCGGGACAATTTGCCCTATGGACAAATCTCGTCCAGACGAAATGTATTCATCCCTGGACGACTTGCTCTCTAGAAAAATTTCGTCCCGACGGTTCGTCCGGGCTCGTATAGGTTCGTCCAGACGAACCATACAGATTCTTCACAATTTTCTTCAGCTCGTCCGGTACTATAGTCAGTTCGTACGGACTAACTGCACTAAAAAAATACACTTCGGAGGGGTTTTACACAATGCAATTATGTAATACATGTTTCATGTATATGTCCCAATGTCTAATTATAATTTCACTTATGCTTATACATCAACGTAATCTTTATCACATATGTGTCAATTCCCCTAATAACTTCACTTCCTCATATATCTTTGCTTGATCATGCCACATTTGTTCAAGACGAATGCAGAAATACATGAACATAAACATGTAAGGTCCTTTGTAACTAAGCTTGTACTTGATCATTTCCCACATTCATTCCATCCTCCATATGAACACGCAAGTGCATCATATGTACATGAAAACATCGACATAGTTAACATGCATAAATGACATTTAATATAATGCATGAAAGCATTAAAGTGAAACATATATAATAATTCTAATAATAGAACTTATACACATTTAATAATGAAATTTTAGAAAATTATTCACAAAGAATATTCATAGCAATATTTTGGGACTTTCATTTCACTGTTCTATAGCTCTTTTTATTAAAATCAACAAAAATAACAAAATACATGAAAATCATACATTTAAATCTGATCAATGAAAATTTGAGTTTTACCAATCAAACTTTTTAAAATTGTGTATTCTACAATATACTAAAAATTATACAATGAAAAGTTTCGGCAACCAACTTGCAAATCTTCTTTTCCTTCTCCTTTATATAATATAATAATATTGATAATTGAAATGAAGAAAGTGAAAGTAAAAAAAAAGGGGGCGTATTCTCTCATTTATAATTGGATATATGAGTATCCGCATCCAAATTTTATTTCAAATAAAAATTTTAAGCATATTTATTTTAAAAAATAATAATATATTATTTAATTTTCAATAGGGAGATTTACATACATACCACTATATTATTGCTATTTTACATATCTAACACCTCAAATATTAATATTACAACTATACCACCCAAAACATAAGGCTTTGTTTGTTTGAGCGTTTTTTTGTCTTTTCCGTTTTTGGAAACGGATGAATTTTTTTTGTGTTGTTTGGTTCGTCAAATCACGTTCCCAATAACTCCTTTTTTTTTCAGTTTTCTGCAGTTTTGAGAAAGCTTTTTATATATGCTTCTCCGTTACAAAACTCCATTTTCTAAACTAATGTTTTTTAAAACTGTCTTTTACAAAAGCACTAAAAAAACAAACAAAGCCTAAGTTTACCTCAAATCTACCACTTCCTCCCGCACATAGCTCACGACGTTAAGGCACCGCCCTTTCCGGCAATGATGTCCGCCCCCTTGCCCTCCTCTGTGGTTGGCGACGGAAGCTCCCCGAATGGGCGGGGAGTCCATTTGGCCGCTCTTCCATCTTTACCGCACCATGTTTGCATAGCGTGCAGTTCGGGCGAGTCTTTGAAGAGTTCTGTGCTGATCGTGGACTCCAGCACACTGCTTATGGTGCAGGTTGTCTTCCATGGAAGCTTGGGAATTGGGTATGTGAAGTCCATGGCTTTGGTTCCTTTGATGGATGAAGTAGAGAAGGGGAAGCAATTTGTTTTCCTGATTGATGGGTGCAGGAAAGCTCAGTTTTTGACGTTGCCGAAAGAGTCTGTGGTCACGATGGTGGTGAGCACGTTGTGGGTATGCCAAGGAGCTTTTGTTTTGCTTTTGTTGTAGTAATGGGTCTGCCATGGTGTTTTTAATTTGGCGAGGATGTTGGTTTCAAAGAGGACGGTGGAGGCGAGGCTGGAGCTGATGGCGGTGCCTTAACGTCGTGAGCAATGTGCTAGATGAAGTGGTAGATTTGAGGTAAACTTAGGTTTTGAGTGGTATAGCTGTAATATTAATATTTAAGGTGTTAGATATATAAAATAGTAATAATATAGTGGTATGTATGTAAATCTCCCTTTTAAATATTATGAGACATATAAACCCAAATTTTGGAGCTGTTGAGGTAAGGTTCAATTTTATCTTGCTGCACGGCTGGCACGAAGTCGCCTCACGGGGAGCATGAGAAGCTTTCCTCCCCAAAATCTCCTTCCATCAATCACTAAGAAGTTGAAGGACGATTCCATCTTCAGTTCCAACGCCAATCTTTCCATCCATCTGTGTAAGTTCTACACATCAAAACCCTCTTTACATTCCAGTTCCAGTCAGTCTTGTCGGTCTACAGTTTCACATAAACTCCTTTCGTATCAAAATAGATTCGAAAACCAACAAACCCTAAACCCAGCCAACCTCTCCGCAGTCCTCTCAAAAAAGAACTGGTTTTTTCTTTTACGAGCCGAGTATAGTTCAAGTTTTCTGAATTCAAGATCTTTAGTCAGTATCTTGCATGGACAGCACGACCCGATTCACTCACTCAAATTCTACATCTGGGTTTTCAGTATCAGCCATGAGTTGGCAAAGGATCATTCGGTTCAAAGGGCTCTTTCTGATATTTTCTGGAGAAAGGGCCCCGTAGTTTTGTCTGTAGAACTTATGAAAGAGATTAAAGATTCCGGGCTTCGAATTTCAGAGGATATACTTTGCATTCTTATTGTAAGTTGGGGTAGATTAGGGCTCGCAAAATATGCAAACGAAGTGTTTGGACAAATACCCCACCTCAGTATTAGGCCAAGCACCAGAATTTACAATTCAGTGATCTACGCATTGGTCAAGGCAAATGCACTTGATCTTGCGTACTTGAAATTCCAACAAATGGCTTCTGATAACTGTTCCGCTGATCAATTTACATACAATGCCCTTATCCATGGATTGTGCAGGTCAGGGATTGTTGAGGAGGCACTTCGTTTGGTGAAGAAAATGCAGAATTTTGAGACTAAAGCAAATGTGTTCACATACACAATGCTGGTTGATGGGTTTTGCAATGCAAAGAAGGTGGATGAGGCATTGAAGGTTTTGGATATGATGAAGAACAGGAACGTAGTTCCTAATGATGCTACATTTCGATCATTGATCCATGGAGTGTTTCGATGTTTAAAGCCAACCAGTGCGTATGAGAAATTGAGTGGGTTCTTAGAAAACCACAGTGTTTTTCATGTCAATGCATGCAGCACTATACTGTATTGCCTTTCAAAGAATAATATGGCGACCGAAGCTATTGATTTTGTGGAGAGAATGGAGAAGAAAGGTTATGTTTTGGACACTGCTACGTTCAGCCTCGTTATGGCTTGCTTGGTTAAGGGTTTGAGACTAACCGAAGCCTGTAACTTGTTTGATGATTTTGTTCGTAAGGGAGGTAAACCAGGTTTCAATACATACCTTCTGCTTGCTGAGCATTTGTTGAAGGAAGGAAAAGTTGGGCAATCAAGGCGATATATGAAAAGAATGGTCTCTGACAATACTTTATGCAGCATTGAATCATACAACATGTTGATTGATTTATTCATCAAAGCTGAAATGAGGGAGGAGGCACAGAAAATTTTTTCTGAAATGCCACATATGGGTTTTTCTCCAAACTTAATAACATTCAACACGCTTATCAGTGGGCACTCCCGGGCTGGAGATATAAATATGACAAAGAAGGCGTTGAAGATGCTCTTAAAGCATGGATTCAAGCCTGATGTTTTCACTTTCAGCTCCATAATAGATGGTCTTTGTCGAGCCCACCAACTTGATGATGCTTTTGATTGTTTTGGAGAGATGGTTGAATGGGATGTTACCCCAAATGCTGTAACTTATAACATACTAATTCGATCTCTTTGTGCTGTAGGGGATTCTCGAAGATCAATGAAGCTGTTTTTAAAGATGAAAGCTGAAGGTATTACACCAGATGTTTTCTCTTTCAATGCTCTCATCACAAGCTTTTGTAAGATGAATAGGATTGATAAAGCACAGAACCTTTTTCATTCAATGGTGAGATTTGGTGTAGCTCCAGATACGTATACTTATAATGCTTTTATACAATCTCTATGCAATGCAAAGAGAATCGATGATGCCAAAGAGGCTGTAGTGGTGATGGAAGCCAATGGCTGCAATGCAAACGAATATTCCTATAAATGTATTATGGATACACTATATCAAACAGGCTGTGTGGAGGAAGCCCATGAGTTGTTTCATCATTTTTTAAAGCAAGGGTGTTCATCTTACTGATCCTAGTCAGAGGTTTGATACTCAGATTACTGGCACAGAAGAGAACAGTTATATATCAATTTATTGATCATTTGTATTGAATTGCCCTGTACTAGTCTGGATTTATCTTGGTGGCTGCGCACGGAAAAGGCATCCGTGGAGTTGGAAAAATTATTAGGTGCGGAGTGCGCACTAACGCACTATCCGCACAAGCACTGGATACCCAGCCGTACCGAGTGCGTGTACCGCTAGGTACCTAATACTTGTGCGGATAGTTCTCCCTGTCCGCACTCCGCACCTAATAATCTCTCATGGAGTTGGCAACCACTGGGGATTCAGAATAAGGGAAAATAATTTATAGAAAATTATGTGCTCTTTCATTATCCGTTTGACCCAAAATGGTACTGTCGGTCATAATTTTTTGGTAGATCTTACTAATAATGATAAATATATTCCACCACCTTTAATGAAAACATGTCACTCTCAGCTTAACAGAAAATGCTACTCAACTCCTTTGCCATCTGCTACAGCTTTTCATAGCTATTAATCTGGTCCGTTGGTTCTCATCTGTTGTCTGTTTTGTAAACCGTCTGATGCGTTGAAGATTTCATTGAACTACTGTTATCTATGGTTATATTGTTGTCATGTAGCACAATACGCGAGATTATCTTTATTTCTTCTTCATTGTTCTCATACTATATGTAGTTTTAGCTGTATTATAGGTGGAAGAATTTTTACATGTATAAAAGCGCCTTTGCTTCACAGCTTCCAATGGATAACTCTTCACCTTTCTTCTCAAATCAAATCATGTCAGCAGAAACCAACAAAGAAACTGCTGAATGCGTCATCTCATCTCATTTAAAGTTTCTTATGGCTAGCATTAAGAGTATTATACATACCACTTTGTCTGCAGAAAATCATTCCACCTGGCGTTCTCAGGTGCTTAAGGTATTCATAGTAGTCCTGATGGTTTGCCTTCAACAAATCCAAGCTATACTCAATGGATGCTTACAGATCAAAACTTCTCAGCTGTCCTCTATTCAATTATCTCTTCCCCTCTTCTGCCATACATCCTTAATCTTAACACTTGTCATGATTTGTGGATAACCATTGATAAAATATTGCAAGTTAGTAATAGGACACACATTATGCAGCTCAAAAAATGAAATGCATCATGTGACCATTAAAGATATGACTATATCTCAATACTTGTCCCTCATTAAATCGAAGGTGGATGCAATCAACACAACTATTAGTTCACTAGATACAAAAGATGTCATCCGATGCACATTGAATGGGCTTCATGCTTCCTAACATGCCTTCAAAACTGCCATACGCACTAAGCTACATCCTCTGAGCCTTGATGATTTGTATTCACTTTTATGTAGTGAAGAAATTTCCTTAGCAGCTGAAGTGATGCATGATACTCACATTTCAGACATTTCGGAATCTCAACCTACTTTATATGCATATTGTGGTAGAGATTGTGGTCGGTCATCAGCTCCACCATTCATACGGGGAAGATCTGGTTTCAAGGGAGGACGCTATTATACCGGACATGGTGGTCGTAACAGGAACATAATAGTTGAATGCCAAATCATTTTTAAGAACTAATACTTTGTTGTCCAATGTTAGTTTCACACAAACACATTTAGCCTTTGCAACTTAAAATCATCCATCACCACCTGCTGATTGGTTCCTGGATAGTGGATCTTCTTATCATCTCACACCAGATCTTTCCCAATTGCAATCTCCCTTAGCTTACAATGGCACTCAATCCATCTCTTTTGAAAATGGCCAGTCATCACCCATTATTGCTCATGGTCAAGGTATCCTCCCCACTCCATCATGTAAGCTTCTCCTTAAACCTATGTATTTCGTTCCTAAACTCAAACACAATCTATTATCTATTCATCAACTAACTTGCAATAATAAATGTTCTCTATTATTTCATTCCCATGGCTTCCAAATTATGGATTTGGAGACCAACAATCTTATCCTTACTGTTAAAGCCCACCTACCATATCAGTTTTGGGTATATGCTCTATTAACAACAACTTACTTGATCAATTGCATGCCATCAACTGTGTTAAAAAATAACTCTCCATATGAACGTCTGAATGGTAAACCTCCCAATTATTCTCACTCACAGTTCTTTGGATGGTCGTGTTACCCTCTATAACTGCCTCACTCAAATCATAAACTCTTTCCAATAGATTTCAAAGCCTTTTTTTTATATGTTGAATCCACAAAGGGGTATTATTGTTATCATCCTTCCATTGGTAAGGTAACCATTTCTATCAACATTATCTTCGATGAACATATATTTCCATATCAAAATTTAGCAACTCCTGCTTCAAACCCACCATATGCACCATATTACTCCACAACACCGCTTGCACTTGTTCCTCATTCTCTGCTTCTTACTATAGTTTCATAAACTTCCTATGTTCTTCCTAGTTCCGCTTCCCTTCCAATTTCTCCAAATCACAACTCTCCCTCTTCTCCTCAGTCATCAATAACATCTCCTCAGCCACTTGCTCCCACTATTCTACCTGCAGAAGCTCCACTACCCTAGTCTTCAAGGCACCATATGCTAACCAAATTTAAGACAGGTCTTCAGATGCCCAAGAACATTTTCACGATGTTTCATGAATCTACAACTATTACGGATCTCACCTGCTATACTATGGCTATGAAGTCACTACACTGGAGATAAGCTATGTCCGAGGAGTTTCAGGCTCATCAAACCCAAGGCACATGGACTTTAGTACCACCTGTAGTAGATTAGAATGTCCTAGGATCCAAATGGCTATTCAAAACAAAAATACATGAAGATGGCTCTGTTACTCGTTATAAAGCCTATTTGGTAGCCAAAGGATATAACCAAGCATATGAATTTGATTTCACTGAGACTTTCAGTCTAGTTGCAAAAATTCAAACTATCCAGATTTTCATTCTCATAGCTCACATTAATCATTGACCAAATAGTTAACTTGATTTATAAATTAAACATTAGGATTTTATTTCTAAATACTTAAGATGTCAGCACAAGAAATTTTTAGTAGTAGTATAAAACTGGACATTCATATTTTGTTTGGACTATTTTCTAAAGAAGCTTTCTCGTACAAAAAAAA